ACCCACCTCATCCATAGGAGAGGTAACCTATGCTAATGCAATCCCAACCCATCTCATCAAGAGAGGTAACCCTAACCCATGCTAAACCAAACCCAACTCACCTCATCCATGTACGGCCTGACTGCAATCTTCCTAAACAGAGCCTCCACGTCTCTCATCTTGTCGATGGTAGCGTAGGTTCGTAGACACTGTTTGAGGATGTCCTTCTGTCCTGTCTCCAGGCCCTCCTGGAAGGACTTCTCCAAGCTGTGCTGCAAGGTGACAGTGATGGCTGCTATCCTCTGTCACCAGGAGAAAAAAGGTAGACAAAAAAATGTCCTGAAGATGCGATATTTGCAGTGCTGCTGGTGGCCGGGAAGCCATGCAGGACTTGAAACTAACTTGCAAATTGTTCTGTTTACAAATCTGGACAGTTTTTTGTCCTGTAATATGCAAGCACAATATAGATAAAATTGACATAATGCAGGCCATCTGCTCCACCGAATGACAAAGTCTGATTTATGATACTATACTAGGGACATCATATTCTGTAGTACTAACTAGGAAGCCGTGCTCATTATTTGGACTTCTTGACTCACCGGCCGGATTTTCTCCACGAGGGGTAGTCCCTTGCTCTGAGTTACATAGTACTGAAGCTGGTTGAATTCAGATGCCACTCGTTCTATCTGCTGACCAGACAGTTCTCTGGCAAATGAACAAGTTATTAATAATGTAGGCAAATGCAACAAAGGCCTCCTCTGGATTCTTGTAGCCTGCCTAATGTTGAGCCATATGTGGCACTTAATAATGAACACTTCATGTTCAACACTGTCTACTTTCACCTGTCTGCCGAAGCCACAGTGGACATTGGGACTAATGCTTTTGAAATGGGACCCCAGTGGCCATGAATATATTGTTGCCACCTGTTCGCCCAAGCCACCTGTATATTTTTGGCACCAGCTTATCGTCACAGCCTTGGTGGCCTTCTGGTTAAAGTAACCTTTTGTTTAAAGTAGCCAACTAGCCATCATAGCCAGTTTTCATTGCTCAGCACTCATGCAATGAGTGTCACTGGCATCTTAATGTATAATGCATCACACAATTGCAACCTCAGGGTGGTAACAGCAAAATAAACCTGCATCCTGAACATAGTAAGGTGTATGTGAAATCATTTTGAAATCAGGGGATTGAGGACTGTTAGGGTTAACCAATTATACACACTGTGCATATCAGTAAGATTTTCAGCACTACAGTGTATTTGGCAGCAAAGCTAAATGCAAGGAGGACTTTGCAATGAGGCTCACATGCTATCCTCTCCATCCTCCCCGTCCACTGTCGTTGAGGACCCTGCAATCTTCAAGATGCTCTCCATCTTCTCCACTGACTTGGTGATGTTGATCAACCTCTGAAGAACTGCCTGAAGGGCAAGAGTAAATGGAACAATCTAGGACACTGGGCGCTTTCTTTTGCCAATAGAACCAGTGCCTGACACTAGTTTACGAGGCCCTTCACAGCCAAACAATAAAGGACAAATGATTATGCTGCCATAGGTTGACCATGAGGCTGACAATTGGCACTATGGTGATGGAGAACCATTTTGTGGCTTCTCCTAAGGATCTTTATAAAATTGCCTATGACCTGGATTGGCAGCCAAAATTTGACCAACCTCCACTCTCGGTGGATGACAAGTTTTGCTGCAACGTGCAAAGTTAGCAGTAGTCTTCACTATTTAGTGTTTTGACAGTTGCACGGGTGTCATTAAAATGTTGTGAATTATTCTCTTACTCCTGTCCTGATGGCCAGTCATTTTTTTCAACCTTTTGTAAGCAATACTGACAACAACAAAGGAGAAAGATTTAATGGGTAATTGTCAACAGGGGAGTGGAGAGCTCAGTCAGAAATTGACACTTCAGTGTCTTGGAGGTCACGCCATAGGTTTGAAACCTGCTACAATCCTTTTTGGCTCATCTGAAAAAACATTACAATGTTACTTCTTCCTTGTGATTTGTTCGATCATTTGGAAAAAGTAAAGTATTGAGAACAACTGGCCTTTCAGGAATTCAGGCACTTTACGTAGGATAATTGTTGAGAATGTACCTTTTTCTCTCGTAATCTTGCACGGGCGGCCATTTTCTCCTCAACAACCCTGATAGCATCATCCATGGCCTGTCGGACAGTCTGCAGGAAAAGTCCACCAACAAAGACAGCCGTACATTTTCAGAGGTGCATAGTGAAATGGGGTGTTTGTGAGTACGGGGCCAGGGCAATACATTCCATGGGCAAACTTGTCAAATTTGGCAACAGAACCTATTCTTGAGCAAGACAGTTCACTATAATTGCACGAACACCAGGAAGATACAACTGGTTATCGCTGGAAGTTAGTGGCAAAATGCAACACGGCTGTGTCCACGTTCGTTCTTCAAGGATTAATATTCGGATAACCTAGCTTAATTATCTTCTATTTAAAAAGGAACATTCTTTTTTATGTTATGGAAAATTATTAATGTTAATTTTGAGAAATTCCCCATTGTCTCCGACTTTGTAAGCCATCTCCCCATTTGGAAACTCTTCAAAAATCAAATATCACCAGTCTTTCCGTGTGTTCCTGTAAACCCTGACGAGGAGGTGGTGTGTGATCCTGTTCTGAGAACAGTGTTCTTGAGTCATGTTCCAGCCATTCGAGGGCGAGAACAAGAAACCCATGTCAAGAACAGGCCGCCCGAACTCGACCAATGAGAGTACCTGTACATTACAACCAACTCAACAAATTATGTGCCCCAAGACTCCAATGCCCTCAGATTTATGAATATGTTCTGGCGTGAAGATGATCACGAAACAGTTACATATAGTTGACCTGGAAAGATACCTGTATCAAAACATCCCACCCCTTGATCTGGGATTTAATCTTGACTCCACCACTCCCTGGTCCCTCAAAATCCACCAGGAGGTTTGGAAGGATCTTGAAGGATTGAGGAGGATAGATCCCAGTCATTACAACTTTACACAGGGTTTGATACACCATGAAAGTTATATACCTGGCATTTAGTACTGGTTTAATGAACAGTAGGGAGTTTTAGGAGGATTGGGGAGGACTCCGGGCAAGGACATCTGGAGAGTCGGGGTGAAGGTTTCTACTCACCAGGACTTCCTCCTTGAACTGGCCGAGTGGAATAGAGAGATTACCAATTGCTTTGTCCAACCCAACCTGTTAAAAAAGGTCAAAATTAAAAGACTCTCATTCATATGACATGTATGTCATTTCAGAGAGCAACATGTACACATGGCTCCAGTCAGTGTTGTAGTTGGGTCGATCATAAGTCTCTTTCACAAGTCTTTCCACAAGTCCAGTCACAAGTCTTTTCACAAGACCAGCTGCAAGTAGCAGGGTAGGCCAACAACAATGGTGTCCATTTGTCACAGTCATAGCTTGTGATTTGACTAGTGGCTAGATGGTGTGTGATCGACTTGCGATGGACTTGCAGGGACTTGTAATGAGCTTGACCAAAACACTCTTTGCAATATAGTATTCTAGATGTTGTTGGTTGCAAAACCTGAGTTTTGCACTGCACGCACAAGGTTGGAAGACAAGTTGACAAAATCTGCATAGTCCTTGTTGATGAGTTCCACCATGGCATTTTTGAGGGATTTGAAGTAAATGTGCAGGTCCTCTCGAAGCGTCTCCAGCTGGACCCGACGCCGGCAATCTGCTACAAAGGCATCAACGTCAAATGAATCCTGGCAAAAAAAACCATTGAATAAAAATTTAAGAAACTCACATATAAAAAAATCACTCTCAAAAATTTAGTAGTAATACTAGTCCAGATGATCTTGGTATTTACTGTATGTGATAGACAGGTCAGATTTTTATGATAGTGGTCCAAACTATTCAAAGCAATAAAGATAATAAAGATATTGGGTGACAAAAAGATGGAAAAATGAAGATGAGCTAGATAAGAAGACTCACAATCGTATGAACATATTCAATTGCCTGTCTCCCCATAGTTGATTTTTTTCTTTTTTTCAACACGTTCATGAACAATGTTCATGAACGTGAAGAAATTTTACTTTAATATCCCAACCAAAGTCAGTTCAGGACAGCAAAATCTTCAGAACTATCCAGTTGTTCTCAGAATTATGGAAATTCTTGGCACACTTCACTTTCAAGACTTTCATCAGGAAATCTTCATGCAATAAAGGGGAAGAAAGTTCTGGTTTTCTACATTAGATGTTCTTGGCACTGTACGGCAACTCAAAGTGTTCATGAGTGGGCCCACTTTCAGCCAAATTTTCACCGTTTTTCTAAAATACATCTGGAAATAACAGATTGTGCTGAGCATTTATACAATTCTAAACATAACTGTATGGTGACATTTTCAAAGATCTTGGAGGTTCCTGACCAATTTTTTTAGGGGTATTAAAGTAAAATCTTTCCCATTTAAATATGTCACACATTGATAAAGAGCCATTCAGATCTGATCATGTTATGGCCAACTGATTGTTCTCTCCTCTAACCCCGGTGCTAAGGCTTAATCAGCTAAGATAAGCAAAGAAATAGGCCAAATAGCCATGACCACATAGTCATCAGGTCCCTAATTTCACTACCTATTGTCAAGTCTGATTCATTTTCACAGTACACAGTAAGTGATAAAATAAGGGACCTGGTGACTATACAGTTACAGACATTACAACTACAGACTACGTGCATTTGAAGACATTTTGAAAAAATGACTCCTCAAAGGTTGGGAGATAAGCCTTATTGCTAATACCGCATGAGTGATTTCGCGCAATGGTAGGAAGGCCCACAATGCCTTTCTACCATTGTGCAAAATCACCCATGTTGTATTAGCAATGGCTTAGGCCTATAGGACTAATTTGTCCACATGGGTCTGGATCTGTGTAAGTCATCCCATCACTGGTTCATTCCATCCATTAGCTGGTGTAAATGAACGAACGACGGATCACTGATCGTGATCCTGATCCATGTGAAACAAACTGGCCCAAAGACATGATAAATGCATCCTCAATTTTTTTAATTCATCATAGGTTGGGGGGCCTATGTTGTTTGGGACATGTCAAGGGTTTAAACTGAAAGACATTAATACATGAGTGGAGCGTTAGTACACCTACATGTACATGTATTCCTCTTTTACGATTTTGGACGGGATCATGACGCTAGCTAGAAACCAAGCCTACCTTCATAAACTCTTCCTTATCAAAACAAAGAGGGGATTTTTAATACATCATAGGTCGAGGGGCCTATGTTGTTTGGGACATGTCAAGGGTTTAAAATGAAAGACATCTCTGGCGATCGGTTGAGGGGGTGCATTGAACCCCTCCCAGCCCAAGGAAAAAAGTTAGCATGGCGAGTCCAAGACTACAATTCCTCCATCATGTCCATGGTCGATCGTGGACGTGCATGATGACGATGGACATGACGATGATGGATGCACCGAGCACCGCTGCTCGCTAGAAACTACATGTAGCTCTACTGAGTGGAGCGTTAGTACACCTACATGTACATGTATTCCTCTTTCACGATTTTGGACGGGATCATGACGCTAGCTAGAAACCAAGCCTACCTTCATAAACTCTTCCTTATCAAAACAAAGAGGGGATGCCGAGCTCGGCACTGGCATCAACTTGAAGCTGGCACCTGCACTCATATCGGCAAATTTTTAGCAACAGTATCAATCTAAAAATGCAAGGAAAACATGATTTCCGGTTTCCTAGCAAGGCCCGGCAGCTAGCTGGCATCAAACTCAATTCCACGTCCACGACTCTACTAACTGTCTTTTTCAGGACACTTGAGGGCGCTGTAGCCAAGCATCTTGCTCGACCATGCCACCGATCATGCCACATGCGCTAAACCTTAGCTGACGGGCTTGCGCGAAAAGACGCTTTCTTATCTTTGTAGTGCAACTCATTTTGGGGTGATAATTGTATTTAAACAATACTAAACTAACACCATTTTCATTTTTTCTGCTTATTACTTTTGTTGCTTACATTAACTGACCGGAGAGGCCTATCTTGATTAAATCAGAATGTGGTCTCCGCCCTAATCTACCCCCAGAACTGTGCTACTATGGATCACAGAGCAAGGAATATGTTTCTGTGCTCTATGCGTGGACCCATGATCTTATTCCTCAATCACCATGATCATGTCCACGGATCCAAGGAGGAAGGAATGTTAGCAATATTATGGAAGAATTCCTCCATGTGATTGGAGTAATAGTTGAAATAGAGGCCTAGCCGCCTACCAAATGAGAGCACCTGTCATGCCTGTAGTAATGCCACCATTGTCACTATTTTGCTTTGAAAATTTGTTCTAAGCCATTTTGACAGGAAAAAACATAACATCAAAACTACGTTAATGATGTTACTAATCCTAACTCTCAGACTCTGCTGTCCCTTGAATATGTACGTGTACATATCCTCATAGCATGAAATGGCTTAGAATTCGAAGTAGGAAATCTGAAATTCACATTCAAATGAAGAGATGGGCATTTTTATAACATTCTCAGTTGCACGAGAAATTATGAATGCCCTATCCTTGTGGCGAATTACAAAGAACAGAAGAAAAGCAGCAACTCCAGTTTTTATTTCACAAAGGGAAGGCACCAGGTCCTTCACTGTAGCATGATGAAACAGGTTTTGCAGTCACTTCGCCCTTTTTCCACTTCACCCACAACCACTTTGCCCATAACCACTTCAACGTTTGCCACTTCACGCTACAAGCCGCTTTGCCCATTTACCTGTTCCCCCTCATACCATATCCCTCATACATGTACCATAGCGCTCACTCACCACGCCCACGTACCATATCGTTCATGAACCACTTCGCCCACACAATATTTTGCATGGCAAATGCACGCCGTAATGAATAACTGACAAATCTCATCTATTAACAGGTTTATAACTTTTTTGTGCGTAATATTGTGGATTTAGTAATCAAAACATCAAGATCCAAACACAATAAAAGCATGTTAAATGGTTTCTGTTACAACACTCCGAAGTTTTGCAACAGTGAGCACAGAGATCTCATTAACCACTTGCTGCCGGATGGATTTTTCTTGAGCAAGACAAGATGTCGGGTCCCTTTCAAGATTTTCCATTTTCAAAATTTTTAAAAAATGCATCATTTCATTTATTGGCCGTTTATACCTACATGAAGGACTTTTGGGCACTACTCTAAAGCTGACAGTTAACCTTCATTGACTTTTGAATATTTCGGCCAGGCCTGCAGCCTTGGAAAAAGAGCCCAGATTGTGCGGTGTTATGTAAGATTCTTTTGTTCTTGAAACCGGCACAGTGCACTGCTGACCTCTTTTCCATTGGGGCCAGATTAGCGTGCAGTGGTGCCGCTGTGTGGTTCATCGCTGCAGTGGTGGAGATCTTTGTCCCCGGTGGTAATCCGCTCGCTCTACTCTAAATGCCTCAACCATGGTATACTGTTATACTGTTTCAAAACAAGGCTGGATTATCTCCACTATTGAGAGCGAAAAAATGTCGGTAATGCCCAACAGCTCAGTCTTTTGTGCTGAGCACAGTCTTTTGTTACAAGGCCCAACTCTTTTGTCCCAGTTCCGGGCTCCGCAGCTCTGCATAAAAAGCCTATGTAGTCAAAAACGGGTCGCCCGGCAGGGAGTGGTTGAAACCAAAATTACCTAGATGCATGACGATGACTCTTAATTCTGTGAACCAACTCACTGAAGTATTTCTGAAGTGGCATGTGGACGAAGTGGCAAATGGGCGATGTGGTAAATGGGCAAAGTGACCAACACATGGAAACAACCATGCACTACTTGGACCCTTATTGTAGAACAAAATACCAGAAACAAACTTCCAGAATCAAACTTTTAGAACATCTTATTAGCTCAAAACATGCTAAAAAGAGTAACACTTTTCCGGACCATCTCATAGTTGGAAGGGAGGCAGATTTCACCCCCCTCCCCCAAGAACTTGTTTGTACCACACCTGATCCTGTTACAACTTGGTATGCTTGTAAAAGGAGTCGGATCAGTTCAGTTCGGCCTTTGAAGCTCATGGCCTCACATGTGTCAGGCCTGCACACATTGAGCACCTTAGAGGAAATATTTAAAGTTGGCGTTTTGACAGTCAGTAACATCCACTTGTTACAACATTGGTGTCAAAATGATGTGCAGTGCATGAAAAACAGAAAGTGTTGAGGTATCATCAGATATCAGAGAAAATTTTATGGGGGATGGGGATTGTAACTCCCTTCCCTCAACAATATGGTTTAAGGGTCGCTCGTTTCTGAAAATTACCTATAAATGTAACCTGACTGATAAATGCAGTTTCAGAGAATTTTTGCTTAACAGCTGATTACTACCAGGGGAAGCCCCAGTAATTCAACTGTCCTCATTTTGCAATGATCTTCACAGTGTTACATTGTATATGATGTCTGCATGCTAGCGTAGAGTTTAATACACGTGTACATCGTCATCAGATCAGGCCAGGTCATCTGGTGCCGAGGTCGCACTTTTCACCAAGTGCTGCCTTGGGGGACGGACTTGCATTAGGGTGCTTTCTTGGTGCCAGACATTGGCCAATGACTTAAAGTCATGAGCTCTGCATGTATATGTTTATCTCCCTGATGCAATCATTGCACAGACTCGGAGGGTGTAGCTAACAGATTCTCGTTTATCTCATTCCTGTGCTGCATGTAGGTATTAATTAGTAATCATGCAGGCAATGAAATTGAGGAAACCAGTGAAGAAGTCAAGTAGAACAGGTCTACCCCCTTCAGAGACAGCCAATGCACAACATTCTCCTCAGGCTGAAGAAAGCGTGGACCCCAAACTCAACTTACTGGAAGTCACTATCTATTTTGTGTTGGTGGTCGGGTTGCTGTCTGCAGCTATCTACAATGTCTACATTTCTTCACAGGGTAAAATAATGTATATGTTTTCAAATATCACATCCATTATTTCAGTGAGGTGCCCAGTTTGTTCTTGAGGAACATATTTTAGTAAAAGTTCCCAAGTTTAAGTTTGGGTTAGGCTTCCAACTACTGTTAGAAACCTTTATTGATCTTCTAAGTGTATGGGTGAGTTCTTGCAACCCCTGACCAAGAACATGTTTATAATATCAAAGCAATAACCAAAAATATTGTCTACTCCCCCCCCCCAAAAAAAATAGTTGTAATTTCTACTAAAAGCCCATTGTCATCAGTACCTGGGAAGGACTACAAAGATTTCTTGTTTAGTTTTTTTCCTGGCACATTTTTCCACTTGCACATGATTCAAACATGGTGATGAAGTGCCCTCATCCCACCTCACTCACTGCACCTGTTCACCATTGTGTGCTGTTTAGTGTGCCTTTGAAACTCAACAACGCTCATCTATAATGTTTCAGTGAAATAAATTTCTCTCACCAGAGCATGCTGAAGATTTCGGCCCATACATCCTGCAACCAGGCTGGTCCCTCCTTGGGAACCAAAACAAGGTAAGCCCTATACCCCTTTTAGTTTTAAAAACCTGACATGCTTTGAACAGAGTTCCCTTAGTCATCGTCACTTGATCAGTGATGATATTCCTTTTACCACTTTGCTTTTAAACTACATTCACTCTGCATCCATTAAAAAACCCCTGAAAACAAGTGTCACAATCTTTTAGCCTTAAACTATTTATGCAAGACATGCAAGCAAATGTAGAATGGGACTTGTGTCTCACCTTTGCTCCAACCAGATGGGTGTTTCAGTGTTTATTTATTTTCCAAAATTATGAGAGGGGTTTATATGCATGTCCCGAACTACAAAGAAATTCACAAAGTTTGTCGGTAAATTACAGAATGGATTTATTTTTTTTCTTCCGGCCTACTGGAGTTCAGTGTGCAGCATACCTTGTTCAGCACAACCATTAAATGAAATTTCATATGATGTCATTGTGACCACTGTTTCTATTTATGATCAGAACTCTTCTTTTACTTCCCAATTCAATTTTGTGAACTAAGGATCGCACACATTTAATTAGAAGACCTTTTTGTACTTATTCAAGGGAAAATCATAATTGTGTCTGAGCACATGCTGTTGCAATCAAAAGCACACCCTTGGCAATCTTGAGATCAACGCCACTACGGGAGGGTTGTGCAAACTATGTACCCGTTTCTGTGAATTGGTTGGAATAGTTGTGTTTCCGTTGGCTTGTTTTCACCAGGACGTGTCTGATTTTGAGTGGAGTTACTGGACTGCCATGGTCACACCGTTTGTGCTGCTCCTGTTGTTTGGTCACATCAGCCTTGGACTAGTCGTTGAACATGCAGTACCCAAGGTCAGTTACAGTGTAGAACGCTCATATTAGGCAGTCCGGGCACAAGACGTGGCCAGACAGTGCCCAACAAGTGTCTTGGGCCCTGTAATTTGAGTATTGAATGAGACAGAATGATATATGATTTACACGACACATCTAAATGCTAACAGGCCGTCCAAAAAAGTACGTATGCCAAAGCCTGGGAGGGGGGATTGGTGCCGTTGCGTACATCATGCGTACAGAGAGAGAGGGGGGGTTCAAGCAGGTGCGTACCGTACGTAAACCGAAATTTGCCTGTAATGAATCTCCATCATATCAGTACTCTTTCTCATACAAATAAATAGCAGAATCAGCTTTTCCGCATTGAAATTCAAACACGGTATCCTCCACCGTCCACCCCACTATTCATCCTCCTGTGCCAACGCCCATTATAAGTAAACCCCAATGTTATACATGACACAAAGACCAGCAGCATCTTCTGGAATTGTGGAATGCGTATGCATACAGGGGGATTGGGATTGGAGCCACTGCCTGTGCCATATGTACAGATGAGGAGGGTCTGCAAAGTCGGCATTTTGTGTGTACCTACTTAATGGACGGCCCCTAAAATGAAATAACCTCAAAATCTGTTTACAAATTGGCCCAAACATTGTCTAGCCCTAACCCTGCTAGACACAGCACAGTGCATTAGGTGAACAAGTCTGATGCACTTTTGACGCACTTGGCAATCAACAGCAGCAAAACAAGCTGGCCATGTTGAGACAATAGAGCTTTCCACTAATAGATTCATAATTATGCACGCATGCGCACAAATGGCCTTGGCAGCAAGGGCCATTGAAAGTGTACAGGGGTGCGATTTTGATTATTTTTAGTGCTCTGTAAATTGACTTTACAATCGCGATTTTTCCTGTGCGCATGATATTAAGAGGCAAAATCCCGCTTAGATTAGAAACTAATAGCAAAAATGATTTAATGGGATTTTCTGAGGAAAAACATGAACAAAGTCAGAAAACCTGAGAGAAAGTTATCAAAATCGCACGTGTATACATTTTCGATGGCCCTTGCCGCCAAGGCCATTTGTGCCCGTGGGTGCATAATTATAAATTTATTGGTGAAAAGGTCTATGGGAGCTAGTCCCATTGAACAATGCCACTGTTGGATCGTGTGGTAACTGGCAACCACAGACTCCCAGGCTGTTTGGCCTTAGGGAGAGTTGACCTGTTGGATCTTGTTACTCTGGGCAGGCAAGCCTTGTTTGACAAACCATGCAGTTTGATATATCTTGCAGGGTTTCGAGCCAATTACCTTTGGAGGGTTATGGCTAAAGCCCAAATTACACAATTTGGATTTTGGATTTGGACGCTATTTACATTCCAGTTTAATTTTACTCAGCAAGGAATAATGCAAACTGTCTGGAGCACAAAACACTAGAGGCACCTCACTTCTTGATCGGATATCACACAATTCAATTTGGATATTCTTTTTTTGCAGGGGCTGGCGTTTATCTGTTTGTCAACCAAGTAAACAGTTTGTTGCAATTGATCAGACTGATGTCTTCAATACACTGCCCAGCATCAATGTTCATCACATCTGCCATGTGCAACTATTTCAATGCAAAGTGATAGCGTCACTGACCATTTACCAAAATGAATTGTAGATGTACATCCTCATGTATGCTTAACTTGTTACTGACTGGCGTACCAAGAAACCAAGAATTTAAACCTTCGGAGCTTGAGGATGAAGTTATGATTGTATTTAATTAGTGTAGTATTTGCAGATTTTTGTATTTGATTTTCTGTACACAAACCCACAGTTTAAGAAGCATTTTCTGCTGGTCTATGCCTTGACAAGCCTGACGAGTCTCTTTGGGCTGAAAGCCCTCTCTGTCTTCTTGCTGTACACCCTGTTGACTTACCTTGCGTCACGGACAAAGTCAGCAGCAGTGGTCTGGATCATCATTGGGCTGGAAATTCTCAGCATCAACTGGGGGTCTGTGTCTGTATACCTGGTGAGGCCTGAATTTTCTATTGCTTACTTCCTAGTTTGAGGTAATCTACATTTAAAAACATCTTTTTAAAAAGTGGGTTTTTATTTTTATTTTATTTTGGGGGATATGGTTGCTCCAAATGTAAGATTTAGAACTGATTGTTGGTACTAAGTCATTTGATTAAAGTTGAATAAGGCAATACCAGTCCAGTGATGATTGACTGCTACGTGAGAAGCTGTTACTAAGATAGCTCCACACTCATGCAAATGTTGAATTCGTTTTGAAATTTGGTTATAAATCAGCCTATTGGTCTGCCAAGCATTGAATGCTCACAGTTTGACTGACATGTGCACAAGTATCGTCCCACCTCACAGTAGTCTTTTAGCTAGGATTTGAAAAGTGGGAGTGCAAAATGAAAAGCATGGAATGCAATCTGATTAGAGTCCGAAATTTGTGTGCGAACTTGAAGCACGCAACACGAGCGCGTGGCGCAAAGTCCCTTACGACCGGGATCCAGGGCCTGCATCAGAGCCCTGGAAGCTCTGCCTATTTTACACACTCTCTGTTGGTCTCTGATGAATTTCTGACTTTTTTCTGAGAGTTTTGCCTTTTCAAACAAAAAAGTAACAGCTTTTAGAAAAAAATTAAATTGTAAAACTGTGTGCAATTGTTGTTTTATATAGTGTGATTAAGCAGCCCTGCAACAAAGAAGCAAATAATGACAAACAGCTTGGAGCAGATTTCTCGCAACCGCATTAGTTTGTTTTTTAAAAAACAGGTATGCAAGTAATACTTGACATGCTTTTTTGTGCCCTTTTTTATGCAATAGAGTACATTCGGATTATTACGTGATAAGCAAACAAAAATAAAATAATGATATAAAATGAATCCGGCAATTTGGCTGAGAACAAGCAAATTGAGTACAAGACTTGACTTCAATGTGGATGCAAAAATACATGTTGTACATACACACTGTAGCTTGTACTTAGGCTGTACTTACTTCAGATTGCAAACCTGGGGGATGGGTGGGGTGGCACTGACCTTTGCTGGGAAAGGAGGGGAGGCACACGGCCACTGTGGTTTTGTCATTGCCTCACTGATGGATTTTAATTGTGGATGCTGGCAAGGTGTTTGTATGGTCCAACATGCCAGTCTGTGTACATCAACTTGACTTCTTTTTCAAGTTAAAAAAAATTAATGCTCTGTGCACATCCTGACCTTCTAACGGTGAACATTTTAAATTTACTGCGAGCTGAGGACACTTCAGCACCATTGTCTGTACTACTTTGCGAAGGAGGAGCTTTTCTTTTGCTTAAACAGCTGTGAATAGTGTGCAGTATTGTGTTCATTTGACTTAAAATCGGGCACAGATGGTTCTCTCTTGATCGATTTTGATCCTTCTGAATTAGCCCATGGGTACATGTAGCTCAGTTGTCTCCAGTTACTCTGATGAGCACAGCGAGTGGACAGTGCCCTCAAACATTGAGCGCAACCCTCATCACCATGAGGTCACCTCCTTGTTGCTGTTCAATCAACAGCGGTCCCTCTTCCCAGACGAAGAATTATACAACCACGTGGTCTTCGGTACAGCTCTTTGCCTGTGTCGTCTTCTCAGCTTCAGCCTGGAGTACTGCAGACGCGTCCAGCAGTTGAGAGCAGCCGGTGCTAAACAGCAGGAGGGCACCGATGAAGGCTGGGGGCTCTTTGACCTCTTGGTGTACAATTTCTACTTGCCACTGTTTGCCAGCGGACCCCTACTGACTTACGACAAGTTTTCACTGCAGGTGAGTCGAATTCTTGTCTTCGGTAAGTCTTGAGACTCCCTGGAATGTTCCAAGCCTTCTGCTTCCCAGGATTTCTAATCACTGCAGTCGTTCACTGTTTTCGGTGTTTGTTCAAGCAATTAGAAGTGAACGCTTTTTATCAGATTCAGCTGCTTTGGCAGAACGATCCAACTGATTCCCTTGAAATTGGTCTTTTAAAGATTGCAATGTATTCCCCACCAGATGGCAGACCATTGCTAAGCTACTTGTACAGCATGTGCTTGATCATTTCAACACAGAATACAAATCTTCACATTCGATATTGAAAGCAGCAATGGACATAAAGCAGCTGTCATCCTCCATCCCAACTAGTTACCCAACAAAGAATAACCAGGAGTATTTATCTGTCTTGCCATTCTCAGCAGTTTCCCAACATTAAAGGAACCAGGAAATGATTTTTTTTCTTAGAATCACTTTTTGTGTATATCTGTACTCTTCTTCCATGTTCGAAGACTGTTTGATATCTTTTTTGAGTTATGTGAACTGAGCGGTGCACTTTTTGAAACATTAAAAATTGACCAAGCATTTCTGGACAAGTGAGGGCGCTTTTGCTTTGATGTAAATCCAGGAGGACATGGTTCAGGTTGCAAGTTTTCATGTTCAAATTGTGAACCCAAATTTGCCATCTGGGAACATTTCTGTGAAAAAGATTTTTGCCGGATTATTGCCATATACTTATACAGCAATGAATTGCCAAAGAAAATAAAATCTGCCATAGCAGAGGTAAAAAAAAGAAGTTTTCTGTGCACAAATCAGTGCAACATTAAGATTCAGTACCATGAGTGACATTATAGTTGTGGTCATGAATATGCAAATATGCATTAGCATAAAAACCAAAAAAGCATCAAAATATGGGTTAAAATTGCAAAACAAAAATTTAAAATCAGGTTAATTGAAACCCAAAGATGCAATTTCAAGGGTTTTAGTAAAATTTGTAAAAATATTTCTACTTCCTGGTTCCTTCAACATTATTCTACAAATTGATGTATCAACACCAGCAGAGGCCAAGATTTGCACAAGAGAGCATATTTTAACACAGCACTTGTTCTGCCACACCGATCATATGGCATTTACTTTGCCCTGTGTACTGTAGCTCATTTGTTTGCACTTCCTATGTCAGATCAATCAGGCTCCCAGACTTTTCACAAAGGCCGAAGTTAAGAAAATCCTGAAGGAGTCTTGCCGTTACATTTTCTGGACAATCTTTGTTGAGTTTGTGCTACATTTCTTGTACTTTCCTGCATTCCATCAAGTCCGACTTGTCTTCCAGTTCCTCCCAACATGGTCAATAGGTGAGTGAGCTTGGTAAACAACTGGCTTGCAAGGACAGCAAGGAGAACCAAATCTTTAACAAATATTTCCAACTGTGTGGTCTCTTGATTCTAGTTGCAAATTCTCCATTCTCTAGTCAGTATTTATGTCTTGTTTACCTCTTTGGGAACACATAGTCTAGGTTGTATCTGGTAACTTGTGTTCACAAGCAGTGAACAGAAGGTACACATGAGCAGCTTTACTCAAGTTCACGTCTCATGAAAAAATCAGGTGGAGACGGGTTGATGGAAACACTACGAAACAAGGCATGGCAGACTCCAAACTTGCTGTTGGGAACAAGAATCAATTTTGTTGGATAGATTGTCATCATGGCAATATCAGATTCATTCAAGCCAAAAAGTGCTAGAAGGTGAAGTCTTTTCCATGGTGTTTAATGCATATGACTTGTGCAGGCCGTGACAAATTTTTTTTTTTTAGCTTGCCGGATCGGGCAGGTCATGCCATAAATTTGCTTGCCCGAATTAGATCAACACTTGCCCAAGATTTCTCAGAATCCACGATTATTATGGTTATTTAACTTAGGCCTACTGCATGCATGCAGTCTTTTATTAGGCCCCCAAAACAGTTGTGCTTCTAATTACATGCCTCTTAAAAATAGGGTCAGTAGGTTGGAATTTTTTTTTATTTTTGGGGGGGTCAATTTTTTCGTTCTCATTGAATGGCATGAATGGGGACGACAGCTTCCAAAATTATCTCAAAAAGTGATGAACACCTGTATTAATCGATGTAAAAATTTCTACAGGCGACAATTCACAAGAATTATGGGCAATTCACACAGTGTGACTCAGGCAATCACTGGCCAACAATGTTTCGCGTGGTAAGTGTGCGTGAGGCATCCAGACCAGTGGGCAAAAAACCTTGTGCCCTGGCAGGAAATTTGTTGAAAGACGCTCGGTTCATGTACGAGCAAATTAAACTCAAATTAAACTCATGAACACAAAAAATACACACATTAATAAGATACCAAGTTCTGTGAAGAAACTTATAGAAAACCTCTTGCAACATTGATTTTTTTTTTTTTTTTTTTTTAACCTGTGGCTTTAGGGTTGCGTGCATGTATGGCTGATGTAGAGCAATCGACCGAAACGTACAGTACATGTATAGACTGGTTCTGGTTGCTACATTTCTTTGCATGGGCACGGCGGGAACCAGAGCAGCTTCGTTTAATATATTGAGCTTTGGGCACACGTGTTTTCACCACTGCGACAGTGAAACGTTAATGAGAACTCGTGAAAATAACGGAAGTATCTTTCCAAAAATTGCAAATGTAAGTACGAAAACATACAAAAACAAGCATTTTAACGTGAGAAAAAGTTATTGAAAGATATTTTGTGAAGACAGAAAAGACATCAGCTTTTCCGGACTTGCCCAAACGGTCACACCTAGTTAGAATTTTAATTGCCCGAATGAAAATTTGATTGCCCTGGGCTATCGGACAGGTGATTCGTTGCGGCCTGGACTTGTGTCTTGTTCCCTGAAAATGAGGTGTAGTAGCCAATGCGTGCCTGGACTTGGTGTGGACTCCATACAGGAAGGGTAGATGACATCGTGTGGCTAGTATTAACACACGACAAGTTTTCTTCTGAATACGCACAAAACCTCTTGCATCTTGCTAAGGAGTGTACTTGAGTGTGGGTACATAGTAGCATTATCGTATCTCCGTTTTTCTTTTAGAGGTTTACTTGTGGGCGGAATCAGAACTGTTATGAATTCTGAGGAATTAATAAGATACATGTACTATCACATACATTGGGTTCTGTTAACAAGAGATGGAGCCTGCCAACCATTGAGCTACATTAAGGCGATAAGCTGCATACATGTGCCCATTGGCATGTTTACATCTGGGGGATTTTCCAAAACTCGGCTTTGTCACTCCGTCAGACTTAATCTCTGACATCAAAACCACTTATAGCACTATACTGTTTGCTCCAGTAGCAAAGCATGAATTTTTATTGAGCCCACAACTTCAAAGATGTGATGAACCATCAGACAAAGCCGGAGATAGGGACGAGTATTGGAAATTTCTTGGTTGACCTCCCCAGTGTGTTAAAGATAGAACCATTGATGTTTTCAACCTGTATTCAACCACTTATAGTATGAAAATAAACTTGAACCTGAAACTTCCCTGCTCACATTACGTACCTGTACATACTTGAGTATATGGCACCAATTGTATATGATCGTCACCCTGGCCTGTCTGTATTTCACCAGTGAAGGGGTAGCTGTGCTCGGTGGGTAAGACTTGTCTCCTTTCTTTTGTCCACTCACAGCTGGTGTTGGTCTCTGCCACTTATTGTTCTTCCAAGTCAAGTACCTTGTGACTTACGGCTTACCTCGTGCTATAGCACTGTGGGACCGCATCGACGCACCATTGCCGCCTATATGTGTACTTGCGATGTATACATTCCAAGACATGTGGAAGTGAGTGATCAGAATTCTGAACAGGTTTTGTTCATATTTCATAATCAGGGATATTTGATGTGGAACAAATGTACAATTGTATAAAGGCACAAATACTTTTCTCTCACACTGATAGATACATAGGCTTTTTATGTTTCAAAATTGCCCATTGTGGTTTTTAGAAACCTCCATATCAATCGAGCTGATGTACATTGCACAAATACAACTTCAGTTTAGATAATTCAAGCTCAGCGAGTGTTGTTCCAACTTTGGGGGAAAATTGAGGCACGTTTGGGCGACAGACGTTCGGAATTAAGTAGCGTAAATCTGTGCCAGTCAGTGGGGGATGGGGTCATTGGAAAGTCTAGTGACCTTTAATCTAAGTGTGCTTCTTGGTGTCTCCCCCAAACTGCAGGAGGATGGTTAAATGGTTAAAAATAAGTGGAGGGAGGAGCCTGCATCCACCTCCGTCCCCACCCTTTTAGATTTACATCCATTAAAGTATTTTATAATAAATTTATCTTTCCTACCAAATGATCTTCACATTACTTTTCTTCCCATCTTCTCCTACAAATGATGTACATGTACTGTTACTCCTTTTTGTGTCCTTTGATCCCAACAGATACTTTGACAGAGGTCTTCATTCACTGTTGGTGAGGTAGGCTAATTATTGCAGAAGTATTTCTTTTCCACCTTGCATTTCAGTGGTATATTTGCCTTCCTCAAATCCTAACTGCACAAGGAACCAGTGCTGTCGTCTTTAAAAATTAACTTTTTGAGAGACATCAAGCCTCTTGTAAAGTAATCAACGCTAGGCTCGCACTTAAACTTTGTAATTTTTCATTTTAGTGGATTTTGGAGGATCTTGGTTTTCATACTGGTTGTCCCAAAACAATTTTGTTCATTTCTCACGTAACCTTGTTAATTTAGTGATGGTGAGCCTGAACCAAGCATGATTGGAACCGTAAAAATCACTCACTTTGGATTTGTTAGGTGCAATTTACATCCCCTACAATGATCGCATAAGTTATACCAGAAATTCTTGCGCAAGTCACAAAGTTCCTCATTGCTTAACTGAATTTGTTGTGGGGCCCATGTAGTGAAACTTGGCGTAAGGGAAGTCATGCCATTGTGTGAAAAAAATCAGCTGCTGATGTCATATGTGTATTCCACAGCACTATCTACATTCCCATGGGGGGCTCCAGGCACGGTTTCTTCCGTCAGCTCCTGGCCTCCATGCTTTGCTTCTCCTTTGTCTTTGTCTGGCATGGCCTGGAGACCCATCTCTTCTACTGGGCTCTGATCAACTGGCTTGGCACGGTCAATGAGATGGTGATCCAGAAGGTTACCCACTGGCTTGGAGTCCTCCCTTATCTTGTGAGTAGAAATGTTATGCATGCAATCAGGTCCAACAGTCCTAACTAACTCAAAACATGATAGCTATGTAGACCAAATCTGACCTGAAACAGATTTGAGCTCCCCAAACCGAATCTTACATACATAATGTTAAATTTAACCCACATCAACCCGAAACTGTACCGACCCTAAAAACTTGGCTCAGACAGATATTCCTGTGCAGACAGCATTTTGTGCCTCAACTTAACTGCATTGCATAAATTCATTTGGGAAAAAATTGTCACCAGAACACAATACTGTTGCAGTGCAAGGGCGGAACTAGAGTGGGTTTGAGGCCGAACCCATGAGCGCAAGCGGTCCGTGAAAAAGAGTGTATACAACGGTGTCGCCCATCAACCCCTCCCTTTCCTGAAAGCTAGATCCGCCCCTGCAGTGTATCTATTTTACAATCGAAGTTGAAGTTTAGAAATGAACACTGTTTAAAAAATCATGCATCTTGGTCATACCATGCACTGTGACTCTGCAATCATAATGCATGATGTGAATGTCCGAAATGCTTTTCGCCCCTAACGATTTGCAAGCAGAGTAAATACATTCAAGGCCCCTCAAATTATGAGGTGAATTAAAATGTTTTCATTGTCTTTCACAACACATAATTACTGATTTCCTTAAAATAGCAACCCATAATGAATACAATTGAGTTTCTTTTTTTTCTTCTCAACAGAAAAGTAAACTATCCTCCTCCATGTACTGTAGATTGTTGGGTTTAATACTGACTCCAAATTTCATGGCCCTAGCCTTGTCAAATCTGGTGTTCTTGGGAGGCATTCGCACAACTAATACCTACTACTACAGACTTGTACAATCAGGTAAGATACTCACTGTAAATTCACGATTGTTGACCACAGTTTTGCGAGACAGTGCCATTTGCTTACAGGCAATTTACATGTAGTGGAGTTTTAAGAGGTTGTTTGTGGCAGCCATCTTCCCGGTCAGTGCTTTTGTTATGGGGAATATGCATAAAAGGTCTACTCATATATCCCTACGGAATAGAAACACTGACTTGAAAGATGGCTGCCATGCACAACCTCTGTTGGAGTGAATTACAGACAACAAAGTGAACATGAGGCAGTCCACAAAGACAGACATCTGTGATTCAAGCAAAATTTCTGTAGGAGTCCAGAGAATGCAGATCAAATAACCTAAGCATATTCACTTCTTCAATTTCTTTAAAGCAAATCTCAAGTTTCGTCTCATCATCTCGTTTCCACAGATTCACCCTGGCCTCTCTTCACAACTTTCATCACATTTTACGTTATTCTGCAAGTTGCCAAGGCAGCACATCAGCACTTTGGCAAAACCTATTTGTGTAAAAAACTTTATGCAAGTTGAAAGTGACTTTAACCTGTCCTATTTATTATTTAATTGTCTGAAATACTTTCAAAGTGTTCCAAAGAGTAAAACAAGATCTGGAGAATGAAATGAACAAAGTAAGTTAGTACTGAGAATAATTAAGATAATCAAGAATAATTAAGAGTATTATTATTACTGAAAGTAGGTCACTTGGGAGACATTCCCATAGGAACGTGCACAAAATTTTCCAAACTTTACTGTCCCATAATTCAATATTCCCTAATCCGATCTTAACCAAACTTTGCATGTTTTCCTTCCAGACCCTAATCTATCATCTCTCAAAATGTGGACAATAAAAATTTTCCTCCTTTTGGTATTTGGAGCATTAGGGAGACATTGAAATTGTCTCCTTAATGACCGATGTCTCCCTAATGTTGAAAAATTTACCACAAAATGTCTCCCAAGTGACCTATTTGGAAATATTTATGAAGTGCACCTATCAGACCAGTACACTTGTGCTGAAGATGCTACGCTGTTATTGTCTCTGCTCACTGGACCAAATAACAGCACTGAAATCATCTCAGCTACCTTACGAGAATACAGCTTGATGTTGTTACATGTAGCTTAGTTGCAAACCAAACAACCATCTTTGCTTTGTTATTTTACATTGTTTGATTCTGATTGCTAAGCTTTTGTCACTTATGTTGTTTTTTATGTTATCTTTGTGTTTTCTGTTGTTGTCTCGATCTGGTATTATTTATTTTACCATTGGTTGCTTATTGTTAGTATTATCTATATTCTGTTAAAATCTTTTCACCAGCATTTCTTGACTGATCATCCATGTATGGACCTTATTTTTCTCTATTTTGTACATGTGGGCTCCTGTAGTGTTCATGTTAATATAAACTGCTGTCTTTTATTTACTTCTTTTGACATATATACAGAGAGAGGGTTTTCTAATAAGTTAAGTTTTTGGTTTGTTTATCATGCTCTATGTTTCACCTTTTCCCCTTGCTATAATATCATTTTCCTCTCACTCATAAAACAGGACACCTAGGAATACTAAACTATGCATTAACCAATTTATCATTAATTTTTTTTTTAAATAGGTTGTACAGGAATTTTCTTCATTGCCCGAGACTAACTGATACGCAGCAATACAAAATGTATCAACACAAGCAAACTGGTACTACCAAAAGAGAAGCTTCACTTTGTCGATAAGCTTGACTGAACAAAAATAATATCAAAGATGTCTTGGTAGAAATCAATGGAATTTTCAGCAAACAAAAGAAAAATGATCTTCCCAATGATTTCAAGAATGGTGACAATCTCATTTCCAGCCCATCTGTTATAGCTAAAGCTTTTAACATTTTTTTTACTGACACTGGTTCCTCTTTAGCCAGCCAAATTTCTCCTGGTACTCATTTCACAGAATCTTTGCATATAATCCTAATTCTTCCTTGTTTTTCCTGACCTCTACTAATAGTCAGGAAGGTTGGCAGAAAGCTGAAGAGTGGTTTTTAATGGCTTCTGCTCAACCATGGTGAAATCTGATCTGTCTTCCATTGCTCACCATCCTAGTTGGCTTTTATTCTGTCCTGTTTAACTGTTTCTGTTCCTCTTGCTCCCAAGGTCATTGAAATCCTTCCTATTTTTAAAAGCAGCAATGCTCACATAAACAACTACTAGCCTATCTCTATTGTGCCTTGTTGTTCCAAGATTCTGGAATGACTTGTCTTCAACTGTCTTTCTCACTTTTATTTCTCATATTTTTTCCGTCAACATTTGGGATCTTCACGATCACTCACTACTTAGTTCCAAGCTTTGACCCTCCCTGTTTTTTACATATTTGATCGAAAACAACGTGTACCGTGTACCAATTTTATTTTAATTTCCCCAAAATGAGTCTGGAATAAATGTCTTTCTGAACTGAAATGAATTGGATCTTGCTGTTTGAGATGAGTGGTACCCTTGACTGGCCTTGAGCATAGAGGTAATGTTAGCATAAGCTGATTAAAATCACTGTAGATGCTTATAGACTGGCCATGCAGGATAGGTTCCACATACGCTTCAGTGACATTTTTATAGATAAATCTGGCATCATATCATGTGTATGTGAAAATCGCAATATTTGTTACAGTTTGTTTTCCTTTTTTAAACAAAGATATACATGTATTTTGATGTATTTGAAAAAAGTACAAATTAATTTTTGTCTCCAACAGTTTACATTTCTCTGGAGCACTGATTCTTTGATATTATCTTTTGTTACATTTTTCTTTTGTTAAAGCTGTAAGAATCTTTATAGAAATGTAGAGGTATGTCTACACATTAAAGATATTGTCAGTAGTGTATCCAGATGGGTTTGCCCACAGGAACATTTTACCTATAAATCTCTAAGTGGTTGAGAGGGGAGCTTGTTAGAGGATACTTTTAAAAATGATGGCAAACTACAGTTTGTTCAGAATCTATATTTATTGTCTGTGTATAGACGAAATAATAAACCATGGAATTGCTATCACTAATCATTGGCATGCCCCCCATGGCAAAAGCAGTGTAATAACTATTGTACAAACCAACTGTTCTGTAACAGTCAGTTTGTTCAAAATCTGACAGCATTGTAGTAGAGATGCCTTAAGATCAGAGGACCACAAGATCAACACAAGACCATCCATCACAAGACCTCTAGTTTGAACTCAAGTCACAAGCATACCTACGTTAACGACGCTGTTCATCCTGTTTTGTGTGACCAGTTTGGTGTCTGGTCTTGTGATGGTCTCGACTACAACATTGACTAGCACTATTCTGGCCATTACAAGGTGTTCATAAGTTTGCATGGAGGCTAGCCAGGTATGGTGGTTTTAGCCTTTTGGAAGCATGGCGGACACAATAGGAGGGCGCTATTTGAAGTGGGTAAATTTGGAGCAAACAAAGATTCTACCCAAACCAAATAGAACCCTCCTATTGTGTCCGCCATGCCTCTAAAACACTAATAGTGCAGTCTATTGTCAGAAAGTAAGAGAAAAAGTCATGAGGTATAGTGAATTCTTTATAAATTGGTTGAAAAAAATGGTCAATAGATAAACCTGTGTTGATGTGTTTTATACTTTTGTATGAATTTGATAATCTTTAATGGAGAAAAGCTTTTTAAGATGAAAATTCCATTTTGCAGCAGGTTTCACCGATTTAACGGCCGTTGCATTGTAGAATGTGTGCCATTAGCATATCCAAAAGGATACATTTATAAAAATATGTCGGTCAAAATTTTAGAAATCAAGCATGTGCGTTGTAGATTTTGTTTCATCTTAGCCATTCATGTGTGTCCAAGAGATTTTGGTCTTTCAGTGGCATTGTAAATTTTTTTCCAGAAATTTACTCAGTCATTCAGAGATTCCGGGTTCAGAATATCCTTGGAGGTAGGAAATTTTGCTCCACATGAGACAATTCTGACGTTCCTGTGGGAGAAAAATGAGTTGCATTCAAAACTACCGCTAACTACGGCTAAACTGACTAGACTCAAGGTTGAATCCTTAACAGCCAGGGGATGAAACCGCGGTTTGGGGTGGCTCAAAAGTGAAGTTCATTAACTTTCTTGGAACATCCCCATCGGTCGAGGGCGATAGATGCTGGCAGATGGCTGGCAGTGGTAGCGCATAAACGTAACGCACGGGGCCACTAGAGTCGGAGAGTTGCGCTGCGAGAGCATGCTCTCGACCGCAATTTGTACTCCCGAGTCGAGTTGAAACTTTCCAGAGTTTGCAAAGTCGGTTTATTCGTCCTTTTGTGTGTGAGGTGAAGGACTTGTTAAAGTTTATGAATCGCCACGCATCAATCATCTAAACCGTTGATACACTGTGACCACCAGTATGTACACTGTATGTACAATGCGTGTGAAACGCGTGTGATTATGATGCTGAAAGAAGGACGTGTTTGTGTTGAATTTCGTACTGTTCATTCAGTTATGCGTCAATGATACATAATTCCTGACCTAAAGAGGAAAATATAACAACACTCTGCTGGAAAATCTGTATCTTTTTGGATGAAAAGAAGGTAGGTAAAAGATTAAGAAAAAGTTTCTTTGGCAAGGTTTGGATGAACACCAGGCCGATACCATTGGCTAACAGCTTTGGATGAACACCAGGCCGATACCGTTGGCTAACAGCTAGCCTAACACTAACCCTAACAGTCCTGAATCGTCCAATTTTAATATGATTTTGCACACACCCAAGGTTACTAATGCACTGTAGATATATGCACGCTAGCGTATAGCCGGCCCAGGTTGGACATCTGACCATAGTGTTACGTAGCTCCATGATCTAACGTACTAGTAGTAGTACGGTCAGGAAGTCCACCTGGGCTACCCCGGTATATATGCACGCATGCCGCATGGTTGGAACCTTGGTTTTCGTATTTTATCATCAACATCGGCCAAGTCCCCAAAATTCGTTTCCCTCGACTTTCCTCATGCAATGCACTGTTGCCATACTTCTTCATATAAGACTTCAAACATACCCAGTTAAATACAGTTACTTTACGGGAGTGAGACTCAAGTCCTAAGGATGGAGCGGGAGTGAGAGTCTGTGCCACGCGCTAGTGGGGCTAACTTACAGTGTACATGTGCCTTAAGAGTGTCAAGTGGTGTCCGTACATGAAACTCTTCCCGATGTTCTTTTAAATTCTGCCATCCAGCCACATGCAGTTATTGCCCCCAAACCGTCAGCAGTTACTGATAGTGATGTCATTGACTTCGTTTATTTTCCAGGTTGAAATTTAAAAATTAAATGGACTTTCAAAAACTGCTGCCAACTACATTTGTATCGGAACTGATAATTTGTAACTTGTACATGTACGTACATAGCAGTTGCAGTACATTTGTATCTATATGTATAAAGGGTGTTCATCACATCTCCCTACCTGTAGGAAAAATTGTGATGTACCCGGTAGCCATTGGAATATTCGATTTCGTTTAAGTCTCTGGAAAAGGTAAAGCAAAAAGTTTGATACATTATTTCTTGCATGTAGGCGTACATGTACCGGTACATGTACATCTTGCCTGCAAAGTGTCAAAGCATAAGCATTGGTAAAGAAAACATGGGTGTGCAGACTTTTGGCCACTGTACAGATCAAAATGCAGGAAAGCTGCCAGTGTGCACAAATTGCAAGAACGTAGTTTATAGAGTCAAGGCACTTTCCGTGTAAATGACTTGTATAAATTACAAAGTGTTATTGTTACAAATGTTCACAGGAGTTATATGCACACATGTATTTGCCTTAAAAAAACAGGGTGGTAATATACCGGTATTTTATGATTTATCCAACGCACTGTAATAAGCATGTATGCTACATTTTATGCACAGAGATTTTTTGAAATTAATACATGTAACCACACAAATACATGTATGCCAGTAGCCACCCATTTTTTCTTAACTACATGCATACATGTACCTGCACCATTTCTAATGGTAACCGTACATGTACGTCTATAACCTGTACGTGTGCTGTCTAACCATTGAGAAATGCAAGCTTTTGAGTTAAAATTCATGGACACATAGTCCTTTTTTTAATTTCTGAAAATGCCAGTCTGTAAAGTGGCACCTCATTTGCCAGATGAAGTGAGCACTTATTGAATCTTGGTTGACCTGCTTCAGGTTATTTGACCCTGTTGTGTGTCTGTAACAATAACGGACAATATGGAGATTTGGCAACAAAGTTGGATAGACTCATTCACAGACCCTGTGGTTGTTGATGAAGCTGTAATATTGCCCAAGCCCGAGTAAAAAAAACACAACACAATCAAAGTCTATCAGCACGGCAGTGCACACCAGTCTCTACTCAGGACAGCACAACAAAGGCGCTACGTGCCCTCGCATGTCATTGCAGCAAATTGGAGTTTCTTAATCCCATCATCGGTTCAAAACAAGACTGGTGTTGTTGTCCCACTGTCATGCTTTTCCCTGCATCAGAATTCATCGGCACAGGGGTGCACAGTTTGAAAAAAAAACAGAAACCTTTTAGTTTGGATAGGCAGTGAAAAGACAGGTGAGATTTTTGTCACCCGTTGCCAATGCTGCCACTACCACAATGCCGATTTGCCACGGGCAGAGCACTCGGCACACTGAACGGACTAGAAATTTCTTGCCTAATCTGTATTGATCTGCATAGTGGCTAAACTAAATATTATATGGTCGGGGTAGGTATGGCGGTGTTGTGAACTGGGGCAACAAGTGGTAAGTGTGTTTGCCCAGCTCGTCTTCAAGAGTGTGACAAGAGGAAGGCTACAGAATTTTGCCTTGTCGGTTTGGGTTAGCTGTTTGTCTTGTGGACAGGAGGAGTTTCAGGATCAATCATCAAATCAAATATTTGAAGTCTGAAAGTGTGAAACTACTTCGTCTGTACCTTTGTAGCAAACTGAAATGATTATTTCTCTGTAACCATTTCTTCAAATGAAATAAATGTTTGGAAAGACTTGTGTAAATGCAAATTGTACATGTTCATGTATGTATGTGACCCACACAGTCAAATATTAATTTAGTAAGAGTCTTGTAGTGGTCATTTAATGTTTTTTATTATTTTTTTTTAACAGAACATTCATTTGATTTATCTGTATACTCGTACATGTTACAATAGCTGTTACTGACAATCAAAGGGCCTCTTTGGTTGAGCAGTAAAATTTCCTTGTGCATTTACAAATCACTTTTTTTTTCATACAAATATATGTTTGTACCGGTAAGTTTAAAACGTCCACACATTTCAAGAAAGTGGGACAGTATCTTCCTTGTTTAAACCATGCTTACACATGTAAATCATGGAGGAATGAATGATCCCCTGTCAAGGAGACAGTTCATATAACTTTAGAAACATGCGTACATGTACATCACAACTGGTACAATGTACATGAATGTACAGTATTCTGATTGTGAAATCTTCATTCTGAGAGATGCCAACCGTTTGCAGATGTATTGAATCGCTGTCTTGTGCTGAGTAGCTGTTCTTTCACATTTCACATGCGGCATGAACTGAGGTCATAATCACTTCCATGTTGCTATACATACATGTAACAACATGTATTGTCCCCCTTCAGACAATGTGTGAATGGGTATTTTGTTGCAAAACTACAGTATACAATGGTGTTGAGATCAACTGTGAATTACATGTACATTGTACATGTACATGTAAAACCTACTCTTTTAAGGGGTTCGTGAACTGAGTGAGCGTGTACTTTTTTGTACATTGCATTTATGAACTTGTAGTCATGCGAAAATGCCATGTTTGACACATGCATGCTAAACTTACCATAATACATGTACATAATTTGAATTTTTCTCCTCTTTCTTTTCTGCTCCAGAAGACCATTCTTTCCAATTGATTTCTGCAATACAGCGAATTTCCTTGCGGATGCAGCGGTGGACCAATGTGTCATTTATTTTGAGCGCAGCAAACTGCCCAGATCCGTGTTAATGCTGTGTGTACTATAAGAAGAGGACACCTTTGATGAAAATGGCAGTCAACCCAATGTTAAGGACTGTACATGTAAGTACGTACATGAACATGTGTGTATACAATCCATCAACAATCAAAATGGGATGAGGACAGCGTACTGAAAGAGGTAGGACTATTTGTACTCCATCTGCTGGTAGCATCACATTGACACAAACGACAAACATTAATCACTAAAGCCATGCTGACTCTGAAGAGCCATGCGGCTAACAATGGGGCTGTGGGGAGCTCCAGGCAGCCCCGACAGCCCATCGAATCCTGGACATCGAAGACGGTCAAGATGGGCGAGCGGTCCCGACAGAACGGACTGATTAACTCTCCGCGGGGCTTGTATGGCAGAGGCAAGGTGCCCATCACCAGCAAGCAAGGAGTGGGAGGAGAGTGGGCATTAAAAGAATGCGAGGTAAGCTAACAGATGTAAAGCAGTTCTATGTGTATTTACGGCATCTTTCAGTTGTTGTGTATTTTTTCATTTCTGAAGTTGACTGAAATTGACAGAACAGGTGTTTTTGTACCAGTTACCGGTACACGTACATACATACTGTATACTAGATTGTCAAACTTCCATTTCAGACATTGTATGGGCAGTGATGAAGTGAAGACATTTATTAATTTGAATTGAATCAATTAAACTTAGTGTTGTTTTCCTTGTGGTTTACAAATTCACCCAGTTTCCAAATTTTGTGTTCTGAAATTATCTGGCACCGGTACCTGTTTTACGTGTATGTATTACAGGAAATGTCAAAAAGAAGAGTCTAAAAGGATGAACCTACCGGTACTACTGTAGTATTTTGTTTGAGAGAGTGCATGTCGGGTACTAGTACATGTACATCTACATGTACCAGTATGCAGGGCCAAACATGTATTTGTAGAGGAGGGGGCCCATTATTAGTTTTAAATTCAGGACTAGAATCTCAGAAATTCTTTAGTGCAGTAATATGTTGTTAGAGAGGGGGGTTAACCCTTGGTCACAAACTGTTAAATGCAACGTTTGTGCATACCGGTAAATTGTACGCACATGTACCTGTACTGTGGGCACTTTCACGATCAGAAAAATGTCACACAGAGTTAATTTTTATCAGAAAAAGGTCATCCAAAGAGAAAAGGAAGTGGTTTTGAACTTCCAGAAGTTAATTGACAGTTTACAGGGCTGATATGTGTCAAATAGGCTTTGTACATTTCAGTGAACAATCTTCTCTTAGCCAACCCCATGGTAGGCCTACCCCATGGTAGGCCAACCCCATGGTAGGCCTACCCCATGGTTTTGAATAAGAATTGTCTATAGGACTGTGTTATCTTCAAACTTAGATTTTCCTCCGTAAGTTTTACCCTGGGGAAGTTAATAAAATCCCATTAATCAAAGTCCAGCATGTTGATAAACACAGCGGGTCACAAAGAGTTTCTGTGAAATGGTCCTTATCCCCCCCATGAAGATTAAATACATGTAATGCTCAACTGGGAGGGTTTCCCTGGTTTGCCTTTATCCATGAAGAAAGATACACAAGATAAGAGGGGGAAAATGAAACTCTGGAAAGTTTAATGTACTGTTACAGGTGCATTTACATGTATGTGTTACACTAAATGTAAAGGTTGGTGAAGCCGTTCAAATCTTGTTGACGTCAACCTTTCCTTGAAAAACCTTGAAATCACCTCTCTGAAAACTTGAAGATGGCACTCAGTCACCCACTGTGGGACTTGTCAACCATTCATTCTGTCCTATTCATAGTCTGTGTCTTCCTTCAATAACCCTCCCAATCAATAACTACAATAGCAGGGCCATTGAAACAGACCACGCGGAATGATTAAGACCATTGAGACTAGGCGACTGGAGGGGGGTCGTTGTGCGCGTCGGTCTCAGTTATAGATTGATAGCTGTCATTAGTTATGATGGAAGCCTCTTTACTAGAGCATTAGGAAATGTTTAGTCTTTATTGTTCAATTGGTGAGAGATAATCCACCTTTTAGAAAGGTGGGCTTAACATCAGAAGGCTTTTGAGCGGTATTTGTACTGACAGGATTTGTAGACTGTAAAGGCAGTCAGAATATTAAGATGTTATATGAAACACTATACATGTGCATGTACTACCTGTACATTTGCTCAGTATTGTGTGTAATGTAGCCCGACATGTACATTTACCGTAGATGTTTTCGTTACCTCATTAATGTAATAGAAATTGGGTGTACATGTATTTGCATGCAAAAAACTTCCAAAAGTCTTTTTTTTTTATTGGTACAGGTACATACATGTATCTGAGAGCCAGGGGCGAGATTTCTCAGCTTTTTAGCTGATTTCAGCTTTTTCTTGTTTTGGATTTCAGCTTTTTTTCCTCACTGGCTGTGTACCAAAATGTTGGAGATTTTCACAGTTCAGCTTCTTGATACATTTTTCCGGCTATTTTCAGCTATTTTTATTATTGTTTAATCTCACCCCTAGAGAGCTTAGAGAAAAACTACAGGATATAATTCACAAATATTGAGCAGGATTTAAGGCCAGGAACCATGGGTCAAGCTGCTTGCACTTAGTTAAATGACCCTCGGTCTCCACTTAGGCTGATGTCTTGACAACTTCATGTAGAAATCTTCTGAGCAAGATGTAAATTCATAGCAACATTGATACCGGTACATGCACATGTGCTGTGTGTCCATAGTCAAAATAGGAATAAGTTTTATTTAGTAAAGTGAACAAAATTTATTGATGCTGCATGACGCTATACAACTCTTGTATACTCAGGGGGCTGTTGTTAATGTCTTTTGAACTGACTGATAAGCATAGTTGTGTTTGTGTGAAAGTGGATTGAAGATAAGCATGCCCAGCATTTGATTAACAATATTAATGGACTCTCAACCAAAACCACTGGACTAGGTTCAGGACGTGTACTTTTACTTGAGTTGCCGGTAGACAACCCTCAAATATTGGTACATGTACGGTAATGTTCTGGGGTGAAAACAAGGACAAAACTCTTTTCATTTGTCTGTCTAATCAAGCAAATCAAACATAAAGATCTTTGGTCCGTGGATCACAAAATGTAATCAGAATCCAGGTAACAAAATGTATTCTTTACATGAAACTGTACTGGTACAAACCGTCACTGATCAATTCTTTCCTACAAAGACTGTCTCAGTCCAGCGTAATGATAAACTGTGAATAAAAAAAGACGCTTACAGTGTATAGTCCAGTGGTAGAGAGCTTTCAAAAGTGGTAAACTGGAGACTATACTGTATGTATATGTACATGTGTACATTGTGTCTACTGGTACCATAGTACATGTACATGTACGTGTACTGTTACCAGTATGCGATTTCTAGCCTTTTAAATTTTCCTTTTTTATAATTCTGATTTAATTTAAGCAATCCAGCCTTAAGTCTGGATGTTTTTAATTAAAATTATTAAATACTTATAATAATTATTATACTAATTATTAAATAATTAAAACTGTCACCTCAGGAGCTTTTCCTGGCGGCCGTAATGGTTAACCTTTGCTGCACAGACTAGCCATTCTGTGCATACAATGTAACACCACCAAAAGATGGACATCTTCACCAGCCTGCCTCTCCTTGCAAAAGGGGTTTCAGTGTCTGCCCCTGCCTTACAGTGGTCTGTTTGACCTTTCAAAATTGCGAATCCCAAAAGCACAGTCTCCTTTTTTTCTTTTTTCACAAACTTTACCCAGGTGATGCATTCCATTGCTGTTTGGATAAACCAGTCTATAAAGTCCCATTTCCAATTCCCAGTGAGTGTACTCAATATCATTTCGATAGCAAACATGATAAGGCCACAGTAAATAAAAAAAGCCACTTCAATTGAACAAACAAATCTCAGACCATTGGCTTTTGAACCTCTGGAGCCCATTTAGAAGATAACCTAAATTGTGAAGTGAATATTTTCGGATGACATTGCCCTCATGGCCTGGATGTTGTTATCAACCCGGGAACATTGTAAAAGATTTGTTTTGGGCTCTATAAGGTGCTTTTACACAGACTTTATTTATGGCAAAGATGAGTTCTGCCATAGCCAGACGTTCTTCTCTGACAGATGTTCAAGGGCTTCAGCCAACAAACAGACAGGGTAGCCAGAAGAAACTCAAAGAGGTACAGCAGGGCTAGGTTTATAAAATTCTAATGAAGTCACATGCAGGAAGGTTGGCAGTTACTAGGAAGTTGATTTGTTGGTCTATGGAGTTGTATGCATGTACCGGTACATGTACACGTGTGTGCACGAGCTCTTTACATCAGTGTTCGTTGGGGACTTGTATATATACCAGTATTGCTCTTTATATAACGGGGTTTTGCCCTTACCCAACGTACATGTACATATATTAGCCCTAACCCTCCTCAATCCTTCATCTGTTGGAGGACTGAGGAGTGTTAGGGTTAATAAACACTGTATGCTCAATGCTTGTCCGAGAGCTTGCGAAAAAAGTCACAAGCTTACTCGGGTGGGACTCGAACCCACGACTTCCTGCTTACTAGTGCAGATGTCTTAACCACTGGACCACCGAGCTTGTCGGGGTCGGCTGGCCAGTCGTTGGGTAAGGGCAAAACCCTGTTATATAAATTAACATCTCCCCAACGCAAAAATACATCTTGAAAAAAGTATTGCTCTTGTTTGTTTTTGTTGGTTTCTTATTTTTTACTGGTGCTGCAATTATTTTCATTGGTTCCAGTATATCTGAATGGACAAGTACCTGTAAGCGTGTATGTATCACACAAAGTATGTCCCGAGTCAAGTACTGGTATACATGTGCCAGTACATGTATGTACATTATTTGGGCAAAGTAGAAGTTATGTACATGTACATGTAGAACTGTGTACATACATGTATACGGACACAAACTAAGGCAGACCATGTGCAGACTTCAGGCATTTCCTTGATATGTTTGTCAAATCTGACCCTTAAACGTGTGAACAAGGAAAAATGAGAAAGTTAAGTGAATTGCAAACCTGAAGGTACAAGACGTCTTAACTCACGGTACGAGTTGCCCAAGGTACGAGTCATGATCAGTCATCCAAGGTACGAGTCGCCCAATGTACGAGTTGACTCGAAAGCTTTCAAATCTATGGTGTGGCACCTTTGATTTAATATAGCAAAACATGCAAGACACAAATGATGGCACATTGTAAATTCATGGATGTTCTGAAGTACATGTACATGTATGCAAAGCAAAGTTTGTCAAGTTGTTAGTGTACCATCAGTGCCTGTCAAATCGTACATACTGGTATCATCCCTAGAAAGTGCCTGTAAGAAAAGAACTCTAAATGAATACCGTACACAAAAAGCTTACTGAAGGCAGCCAGTTGTGAAGCACCCATACAGGTACATGTACATGTAAGTGTTCTCACATTTTACCCTCTTACTGTGTACAGTGTACCGGTAGTAAGCTCTTGTCACTTGCCACAGTATTGGGATATCACCATTAAGCAAATTTTCACTATGGGGTTAGTTACCATAATATTATTCCAGATGTTAAAGTCAGTCATGGGTCCGTTAACAGGATGATTCTATCATTCTGTGACAATTTCCAATGGGCCTGGGATTGGGTTTGAATTGAAGGTCTGTTTTCTGCCTAGGTGAAAGCATGAACAAAAGCATGCAGAACAATTAAAGCATTCATGAATTCAAAGTCCAGAGAGGTTTTCATGCATTCAAAGTCCAGAGAGGGTATGCAAAATTCTGTTGCCTTTCCGATGTGCCTGTCAGATCTCCATTTTGTTGTAATGTACATGTAAGTTCTTATCGGTACCAAACATGTTTGGAGACTAAATATTGACACACATACCTATTGATGGTGTTCACATCGTGAAAAAAAAATAGAATCACTTTTTGACAGTGGATGAATACCAGTAGTTTGCAGTGCATCCTGTGTTACCATGGTGACATGGTTTGACATTGTCTGTATTTGTACATGTTCACTGCTCTGAACTTACAGCACATGTGTACATGTACATGCACATGCATACATGTGTATGCTACAAGTGCACTGTAAGCCATGTAAGCTGTAGTTCATGAAGTATATGTACGGTACAAGTAAGCCTACATGTACGCTTGAATCAGGTTAGCAAAATATTTGTTTCAAAACTCAATTCTGATCTTTTTTAAAATCCTAATCGATGCTGACACTTTTTCATACTTGTACTTGAAAATTTGTCAAGTTTACACTTGTTAGTTACAACCCTAACAATACACGTGTATGCAACAAGATTCTTTGGGGTCAGGGATAATACTTTTTAGCACTGGTCATGGGGGCAAGAAATACAAATACAATTAAGCAGACGAGGGTTTCAGCAAGTTCGTTGACATCAATATTTTCAGAACATGGAAGTTTATAGAAGTTGGTCAGCACACTGGTTTGGTTTCCTCTTTTATTACCACAAGGGAGTGTCCTTGCATTTGTATAGAGTGAGGTGTATTTTTTGTACTGGTTGAGTTTCTTCATTTTAGCAGTTGTTAGATACTTCAATGAAGAGATTTCATTCAGTGTGGCTTGCCTCATGCTGCGCTGGCTGTACATGTACGGTGTGTAGGTCCCAGGATGAGGAATAGACAGATGCCAAGACCCCCCCCCCTCCCCTGGCAGGCCCCTTCATTGTTTGTTCTTGAATAATAAGAATGGTCTTTTTGTCAACAATTGCCTGTAATCTGTAGGCACCAAGGGGTTAATCCTTTCAAATTACACAAACTCACCTGTGCACCAACATACCTATACACCAGCAACCAAGGATGTGTGCCAGTGCATTAGGGACAATTTTACCAGCAGGCTTAACTCACCTAAACTATGCAATCTGTGATCATCAAAACAAAAATCCTGGAATACTTGTCTAGATTATTCAGCAAATTTGTAACAGGCATCCTTTCTTCTGGAGAATTTCATACATACATGTACTTCTACATAGTTCAAAGTGTTTATTAACAAGGGATACATAAAATAACAGAGGGATTACATGTACATGTACATCCCACAATGCGCAACCAGTGCCCATAGTTCTGGCCCAAAGCCACAATGATTTCTTTGGCAAAGCGGTTGGGCTTCACAGCACCACAGGCTGCATCAGACAGCAATCACAACCTCTTTTTTCTGGTCTGGCAGGAGCACACGACATGGTTGAATGGCATTCTCAAGAAGCACAAGTCGCGGCCAATCAGCGACTTGAGGAAGAGCATCTCGGATGGATTGACGTTGGTCAACATCTTGGAGATTTTATGTGAGTACATGCACATGTTCATGTGTATTTTTATACATGTATAGTATAGGGCTTGTATTTAAAGTTGAATACATAAAACAGATAGTGATACTGTACATCAAACTTGAATTGACAAGTATTTTTTCATAACTTTTCCCATTTTCAAGGGCGTGACCAGTTTTTATGACCTGTTTTTGATAGTGCCTATGCATGCCCGATTAAACTCACTGTAGTTTTACTGTTGATGACAGTGCTCAGTGTCGTTTCCATGGGATGACCCATCAAGGAACTACCAATACCACCCATAAATCACATTCTTTTGTGTTTGTTTGTTTGTTTGTTACAATGAGAGATCCTTTCCATCGTTTTGGCCCAAGTCACTTATCTGTTGGGCACAATATACCTATTTCTCTTTAATGACATAAACGAAAGAGGTTATTCTTGTTGAATTCTAACATGTCTGAAGCTAGATCCAGTGGGTCATGTCAGATAACTTACTGGTTGGTCATCCTGTAATAATGGGCCATGCAGGACCTAGATTGTTTCATCTAGAGACATAAGAGTGGCAAACCAGATTACCAAATGAAAATGATCACAGACAAGAGTACAGTGTGCATCCCAAATGAGTTTTTTAATTGACTGACAAGTTTAAAGAAGACCCGTAAACCCAAAACAATTTTTCTAGGTGGCAGTGTGAAGAGCACACCGAACATTTTAATCCACGCCGACAGTATATTTTCACAGCAGCCTGGAAAGAGTTGAGATGTCATACCATGTATTTGCCAATTGTTTTGTGCACACACTCTAACCAGTGGAGACTGTGGAGATGACCATGTTGAATTCAAGTGTGGCCATTGTGCACGCATTCCGAAATTTGTATCCTTGTGGAGGCATGGCTTTGTTCTCCAGTACTAATTCGGTCGTATGTGAAACGATGTTTTCAAAATGCTCTCATCTCAACATGAATCACTCTCCTGGACTGAAATTTCGACCGAATGTCCCTGATATGACAAAAATTCAATTGGCGACAGATTCTTACACATTAAAAATTTTTCTTTTTTAAGCACTTTCCAAATATCAGTTTTGTGCAATCCTTGTGGAGACCTATTCACCTTTAGAAATCCCTTGTAGAAACCTGTTCAACCCATTCTTCTGGGTCTCCACAAGGCACCAGATTTCGGCACACTGTGTGTGCCTGAGTAGTACTAGGATGTTCTTTTATTATGACTCTGGCAGGGCCATGGGCTGCAAAAATGAAGCTATATGTACAAAGTACAGTGAGAAGTGTGGCACACATGGAGAAGGATTGCAGGGTCTGGAGAAAGTACATGTATTTAAAACTTGGCCAACAGACTAATCCAATTAGATGCCATAACTGCCACAGCACTGCACTTCAAAGGCACATTCTTCAGTTTGATGTGCATGTGTATTTGGCAAATCATGACACCTTATTGGTTGAAGAGTCATGTACCGGTAACATGCACATACGGTACCACCTGTCCACAAGCATTGTGCCACCGCAGTAATGGCTTATAATTCTGACCGTCAAACTACATGTACCGTACATTAGACAGTGACCTCTTTCAAGCCAAAATTACACCCTACATGTACATGTACCTGGGACTTGTTTGCTGTGAAATAATATTTCCCACAAAGTGGTCAAGTGATAATTTAAGTGATTGTACCCACACCGTGTGGAGGTTCTGCTGTCTGTGTTAAACCGCTTGTTTACTTTCACATCATTGCTTCATGCTCTATTACACCAGTAAATTTACGGTATGTACTTGTACATGTATACATGTACACCTGTACTTGCTCATTGAGATACATGTAATAATCCCAATATTCCCTTGAAATGAAAATGCAGACTTGACAAATGTTGAGAATTTACTGCGAATTCCTTGGAAGTTTGCAACATTACCAGTGCATGTACATGTATATGTACGTGCAAAACTGCACGTATGTGTAAAACTGCACGTACGTGTACCCACAGAACTTCCCATGAATGAATAGTCTTTATAAACAATTACCTTCCAATGCTGCTGTAAAATCGTACGATAATTTACAAGTGCTCTCAGTAAAGTGCCAATTATATAAACAATTTCGAACCAAGAGTTGGAAGTTTAATTGTTGTTAGATAAATCAAAATGAGTAATCGCTGATCTTGACGTGGCTGGCAATGAAATGCTTCTGCATTCAAGAGCTATTGGGAGTTGGCTTGATATCACCATGGCAACCACTCGGTCGATCCCCTTAACCCTGTGACCCTGAGGCAGGGCACTTTGATTGGTTTAAACTGGTTCAGCGGAAGCCCAATTTGGGGGTAAATATTCAAAAGGCATTGGTCAACTCAGTACTGAGCACTTGAAACTCCCCTATTATAAAGTAACTCTGCAGTTGGTATTCATGATCATTGTGGGGGGTGCTTTCTGATTGGAATGAGATGGAGATAAATTCATGGATTGGCTTTCAAACCTGTTTAAAGGCAAACATTGTACGTGTATTTTAACTGTGACATATACGTTTTACATGTGTTTCAGTACTTTTTGCAAGTAACATATCATGGCACATAATATTATTGTACATGCACATTGAATGATAGAAGATGGGCTATGTTACTTGCAAATGTTGTTCTTGCACGTTTCATTTAAAGTACATACATGTACATGTACTTCGGGATTCATCTTATTTCATTTTGTTCCACAAAATACACACATAAGCCTACCTGCAAGTTCAAAATGTCCGTGCCAAGGAGGCATCAAACCTTCTCCATGGCAAGGAGGCATCAAAGCTTC